GCCCATGCTGGGATGGGAAGTTTTCTCCTGCAAGTGGCATTTTTGTGTTAATATTACCCGATAATTTCTAATTTTCTGAGAAATGCTTTTGAAAACAGTAGAGGAAATACATTGTCCTCATGGTCAAAAGCGAGGATTTCTGCCCGTGTCTGGCCACTGAGCCGGTTCCTCTCCCCATGGTGTGTGCTCCGTGTTCTTGTTCACACATGTTTGGTGAGCTGCCCCCACTCACTGAGTCTGCAGTGGTTGTGTTCTGGAGGAGCCTGCTGCTGGGATCCTGGGATGGCAGCCTGCTTCTGGAGCGTTCCCAGCTTCACCTACCCCGGGCTGCAGCAGCCTGGCTGCACAATGTGTCCCTTGGAAAGAGCTTTTCTTTCTTCCCAGGGGTCTCCAGGGAACAGCTCTAGAGAGCTGACAGGTGCGTGGAGGCCTCTGATCTGGGAGACTGGCCATGAAGCCAGGTCTGCCCCAGGTGGACGGGGTTGAGCAGCTGCAGGACTTGCATTTGTTATCACACTTGTGTTTGCCCGCAGTGGAGGGTGACCATGAGCCCGGGTCAGGACGTGCTGGTTCTCATGCCCATTGCCCACTTGGAATGTGGACAGAACCTGACTGGGCCCTACTGTACTCTGCTGCCAGTGGCCTGGGCAGTGTGGTGGGTCATGGTGGCCTCAGGGCCACCCTCGGGCTTCTCTCCCTAGAGAAGCCTCTTGGTCTTGGTGTGTTCCTACCAATAGGTTGTGCTTAGGTCAAGGATGACTTGCATTGTGACAGAAGTGGGGGGTCTGCAGCTAGCCTGGGCAGTGTGTTCTGCCCCTGGACCCCCAGGGGAGGGCGGAGTGGAGTGAGTGCCTATTGTACCAAGTCTTTAAAATGACATTTACACATTTACTTACTTGTGAGTGTGTGTGCACATGCCACAGCATGCGTGTAGAGGTCAGAGGACAATTTACAGGAGTTGATTGTAGAGCTAGGGGATTGAACTCTGGCCATCAGACTTGGCAACAAGTGACTTTACCTCTCCAGCTCTTATTTTTTACCAAATCTTACCAAAGATTTGATTTCACCATAAAGGGGAAGCTAACTGTGGTTGAGGAGGTGGTGACGTAACCTGATGTGTGGTCTGTAACCCAGGACTGCAGCCAGACATGTGCTGTTGTATGCTGGGTGACATGCAATGTGTTGTGATGTGACACAGAGTGGAAGCATGTGACGTGGTATTTGATCGAGCTTCTCAAACTGGGTAGTGGCCTCCTGTAGATGTGACTGACTAGGTTGGGAAAAATTTGGCAACAGTTAAAAGTTTTTGAACATGAAGTGACAAAAAATTTAATTCAAAATCAAACACACGAGTCCCAGGCGTTTCTGGCGGCCCTCGCCCATGGATCAAGCCGCTTTGCACTGTCCATGCTTTCGTGCTGGGAAACCTGAACAAACCCTGCCTGAAATCCCTTGGTTTGGAGAATTGTGGTCTTGAGCAGCAGGGCTTCCTGTGGTACAAAGTCTTCTGTTCTCATAGGGACACAGTGTAGTGCAGGCTACGGGAGACCTTGTCACACGCAAAAACAAAACAAAAAAAAAGAAAAAAAAAGAAAAAAGCTGTTTGTGTTGCTGATATGAGTTTCATTAAAAAACTGTTCAGTGAATTTTGGCTTCAGACTGGGGTAGAGTTTCTAATAGTTTTCTGAAAGGACTTTAAACACATTTCTGCCTGTGTTGCACTGTGGAGTTATATGGACTGGCATTCTCAGCACTGACAGTTATAAAATCGAAATATCTGCTATGAAAGATGCCGAAGATGTTCTGTCCCTTGTAGCATCAAATTTTCAGCCAAGATTTAATTCTGTATGCAAAAATAAACAAGCACCCATCTCATTAGCATGAAGATTTGCTTTTTTGAATAAATGGTATATGTATATACATACATACATACATACACACACTATGTATATAGATATACCAACCGAAGAATTTTGGGTCTGCATGTTATATATACATGTTCATGTGGGGGTGTGTGCAGGTAATCCTGTATGTATATGCATGTATAAGGTCCACATCAGGAGTCTCTCTAGTCATTCTCTACTTTTTTTTTTTTTTTTTGGCTTTTCGAGACAGGGTTTCTTTGTGTAGTTTTGGTGCCTGTCTTGGATCTCGCTCTGTAGACCAGGCTGGCCTCGAACTCACAGAGATCCGCCTGCCTCTGCCTCCCTAGGGCTGGGATTAAAGGTGTGTGCCACCACCGCCTGGCTCTCCACTTTATTTTTTGAGACAAGGTCACTCACTGAACCTGGAGCTCACTGATTTGGGTAGGCTGGCCCGTGAGCCCCGGGGATTTGCCTGTCACTCTACAGCACTGGGATTGCAGAGATTCACTGCCATGCCTGGCTTTTGCTTGGGTTCTGGGATTTCAAACTCAAGTCCTCTGGACTGTACACCAGATACTTTACCAACTGGACTGTCTCTCTGGCCTCCAAAGAATTGTTTTAAAATACAATTTTTTATGACTTATTTTCAGTAAATGTAAAAGATTCTTAGATATATTTTATATACTGACATTTCTGGAGTCACGTGACAATTTCTCGGGTGGGAGGGGGTTAAGAAGCCCTGGTATATGACACATGCCATGAGGTGTGATTTGTGATGTGTGTGTAGAATGGAACTTGGAATGCAGGACAGGTAGGAAGCTGTGGAGGCTCCAGACTGTACAGCTGCCTAGTGTTCTAGAACCTTCATTTGCAGGTCTGGGGTCTAGGTGCTCATTCTGTGCTTGCCCGAGGGTGCTTAGGGAGGGGGCTAGGCTCACGGCTTCTCTCAGTCACCGCCCACTCTGTTTCTTGTTCTGTCACCCACTTACACACTCACTACTCAGTTACTCATTGTCTACTGTTCATTCACTCACTACATTCACTTATTTATCTTTCCATTCATTCATTCACTCACTACATTCATTTATTCATCTCTCCATTTATTCATTCATTCATTCACTACATTCACTTATTCGTCTACCCATTCTTCATTTACTTGCTCGCCTGCTTGTTCATGTAGTGAGCATTTGTTCATTCACTCATTTTGTCCGCCATTCCTCAGTTTCATCTGTTCTTCAGTCATCCATCCCCTCATTCTCCATCCGCTTACCCAGCCACCTCTTTGGCATTCAGCTACCCATCTCACTTAAAATCCCTTCTTTCTTCCACTGTGCCTCGGTCTTCACTGGCTCATTCACTCACTTTTCTCCATTCACTGATTCATGTTTATTCTCATGCCTCAGTTGTGAGAGGCACCCCAAGACGGTGCTGGGAATGAGGAAATAGAATGATCTTGGACTCTTCCTGGGTTTGTGGATGCGTCAGCGAGCTGAACAACTCGGATAAGGAAAGGTTCTCTTCATTCATTCATTCTTCATTCATTCATTCATCGGGCTTGGTGTGGCACTGCTGTCTGATGGGTCTTAATGATCGAGGATGGCCCCAGAGGGACTGCACTGTGCTGACAGTGTGGACAGTGTGCCCTGCATGTAAGGCCCCTGGCTGTGACATTCCAGCCAGGAACACCACTCCAGGCTCCCAAGAATGTGGTGCACACAGGGCTCTGGACTGTCTGTGCGGGCAGGTGGGGTGAATTTGCAGGGCCTTAGGTTCTGACCTGACACCTGCTGTTGAGTCTGTCTGAATCTTGTTCCTCAAAGTGGGTCCAGCATCAGCTTGCACACAGGGCCAACTCCTGAGGGCAGAATTCCTGTCTCTAGGTCACTTAGTGGGCCCAGGGCACGCATGTCTGTCCCATCATGCATGACCTTAAGTAACTGACTAAAGTCAGAGAGAAATAAGGCACAGGGGAAGGACATTGAGAAAGAGAGTCCCCAAACCCGGATTTTCCCAACAAGCAGTCACAGCATGTTTAGATGGAGAGTTTGCTCCTGGATATCAGAATGTGAAATGTCCTAGCCGAAGGAGGGGCAGCACTTTACAGAGTCTCAGATCCGGTTGGAGGTAGAAGTAGGAGGTTTGTCGTCATCACTCAGATACCAACCTCCTTCCAGGAAGGGGGCCTCGGGAGAGCCCGGCTCTACATCACGTGTGCAGTTACTCTGCATCTCAAGGAGGGGATCATGCACCAGCTTTCCAGAGATGTCTGTGTTTCTGCTGTGGGCATGCCCTGGGGAAGGTGAGTGCTAAAGCCGGGCAGTTTAGTACAGCAGGGTAATTGCTGATTTTCATCTGCCGACTCATCTCCTGCACTGTGTCTGTGTGGTTTGGGGGTCATTATTTCATCACATGCTTGCACACGCTCACAGCGGCAGTCTTCACAGCCACTTCATCTTCCCAGGCCTGGACGCCCTGTAATTAAACAAGCAGCTCTTGGGGCCCTGGGCTCCAGGAAGTTCGAGTTTGTTCGCACTTAGTTTGTTATGCCTCTGTCTTACATTTTCTTTTTTTCCAGTTACACTGGAGATTACACTGCATTTCCAGAACCTCCTAAGGCTTAGTATAAACTCACACTTTCTAGGCACTCCCAGGCTTTTGGGGATAGTGTTAGATAATTTAATCCATCATTTTTTTTTTAATGTGTGCATTTGTGCACACATACAAGTGTGTTCACATGTGTGTGCATATGTGTGGAAGCCAGAAGTCAACCTCAGGTCTCATTCCTGGGTTCCTCAGGAGCCATCTTGGTATGTGTGTTGTATGTGCATGTGTGTGTCATGTGCTGTGTCTGCATGCAGAGGCCCGAGGAGAGAATGTCTGGTGTTCCGCCGTTACTCTTTCTTATTCTCTGCAGATGGGGTCTCTCACTCAGCTTAGAGCTAGGCTGGCAGCCCCAGTGATCCTTCCGTCTCTGTTCTACATAGCACTCGATCCAGGCATGTGCATGACCACACATGGCTTTTTACACGGGTACTGGGGAGCCAAGCTCACCTCACAGGCTCGAGTAGCAACTGTTCCTACCGCTGAGCCCATCTCTACCTACCTTCCTTCCTTCCTTCCTTCCTTCCTTCCTTCCTTCCTTCCTTCCTTCCTTCCTTCCTTCCTTCCT